AGTCCCGCGCTGGGCCCAGGCAGGGGGCGCGCCCGGGATCCCGAGTCATAGAAACCACAACTCCCAGAGGTCTACGCGCGCGTTCCGTCACGCAGCAGAGGCGGAGCGCGAGGCGTACACGGAGCCAGTTATTGCCTCCCCTACCCCCACCCCCGGCGGTGGAGAGAGGAATTGTACACATGGAGCATGCGTACGCACCGGAGAACCGCTGCCCCGGAGGCCAAGGCCGGATCTGCGTTCACGGTGCATGCGCACTGCTCCGCGCACCGCGGTATCCCGGCGGCCGAGAAAGTCTCTGCGGCTTGTGGAGGGCAAGTGGGTCTTTTGGTTAGGTGATGGAGACCGGGGGACTCCCATTCAAAGCGGCGCAGAACTCGTGCGTGCCCAGTATCGCTTTCTCCCCTGCTGACGTCGGCTCGACGCTGGAGCCCTGGTGTGCGCCCAAGGCGCGGGGTGTGCGGGCTCTGCGCCAGGTTGAGTTCTCCAAGGACGCGGAAGCCGGCTGCGCGGTCCCCCCGTGGAGAGCAAGAGGCAGGGGCTGGGACTGCTGCGCAGTGTGGAATCCGGGGACAGGAATGAGAATGACCGGACTGCGCGGCGGTTCATAAAAGTTACCACAAGTTATGGGGGGAAAAAGTGCTGTGGATGTAAGGATGATATAAGGGAAATACAATGACCAACCTGCTAAATGCCTGATACACCGAGTTCACGTTCTCTAAAATCGAAGAATGAATTGTAGGAATAAAGGAGGTTAAGAGTAGGAAATATTTACTGGGAATGAAACAGCTTCCGCCTGAGAGGAACAGAAGGGGGATTCAAAAAGTCGGTTGCCCACAAGCCCAGTTATCAAAGTTTTGTAGAGTATAATCACGAGGTGAGCAGGAGGTGGGACAAAACTCTGGTCAACCAATAAGATTAGTGCCTAGATAGTATAGATCCAATGGGAAAGCAAGTCACCTAGCAAGTGTGTATGGAAAGATCAAGGACCTTTCCTGGGAGGATGCAGGAGGTCTTGGTCCCCCACCCTAGATGATTGCTACCTATTTAAAATATCAGTCATTGTTTATCCCTTGGGGAGGTAGGTAGGTATAGTTATTCCATCTTTATCTTTTTTAATTGTCTTAAGTATACAGTAGTTATATTCATCATTGGGATCTTGTACCTTTACATGACAGATCTTGGTTCTCATTTTTTCCCCATACCCCTGCCCTCCCTTCACCCCCTATTCCATCTTTATCTTGAGGTTGGCCTTCAACAAATGTGCCATTGGGCACAGTTATAATGTGTTCTTATCAGCACTAATTTCGGGCGGAACCCTGTCTGACTGCCTATAATATTTCTGTCTCACTTATCTGTCTATAATACTGTGACCCTGTGTGGTGGGAAGTGTGGGTTCTCAGAGCATCCACTTCAAACACTGGAATGTGACTGGAGAGTCCAGCAGTACCCAGGTGTCAGTACTTTAGTGTAAACAAAGCAACCCTTTGTTAAAGTTACTTTTTGAGCGTTTTGTAATGTTGGCTGTACTGTTTTTAATGTTTAAATATATTTGGTTTAATTGAATATAAGCACGGGGAGTTTATACCATTGTTTGTATTTACATAAAAAAGTTAACTCACTTGAGGCCAAAAATATTTTTTCCTTTAAAATGAATCATTATGTATGTTACCTGTTGCGAATCCAAACTCTTAACAACAATCATTTTTTTATCTACCTCTTTCTGGAATTCTTGGGAGCTACGTTTTGTTTTGGAGTCTCTCGTTAAAAAAACAAAAAACGTTGCAGGCAGATGGCAGCTGAGGCTACAGTGGTCTGAAGATTTGATGGGCTGGAGAATCCACATCCTAGATGGCTAGCTTACAGGCAGATACTCATTAAGCCTTAAGAAGCACACTGTCCATCCGTGTTGGTCTGTCAGTCACAGAGCAGCCCCCATTCACTGTGGAGTAAATACCAGGAGGCAGAGATCGATAGGAGCCACCCTGGAGGCTCAAATATAAGAAGATACTACTGTTTCTCAACAGTTTGAAGTCCATAGTGTCCCAACATACTGTCCAAGGGTCCTAAAGACAGGAAGAAACATTTTCTCTTTGGTGGGAAATACGAGATTAAAAGATCAACCATTTAAAAAAATTGATCATTGTGGCTTTTGGGCAGGTATTACCAAGATTTGCATGCCTCTTCCCCAGTCATTGTATTTCCATAAGGCAGGAAATGTATGTAATATCTACAAATTTCTTGTTAAAATATTATCTTTGGAAACTACACTAAATTCCTTTCTGCATTTAAAGAAACTGTCAAAAGAGTAATAATGGATTGTCACAGAGTATACTATTGTTATCCTAAAGAAAGGTAGTAATAATAGCCTTTGATTTCTAAACATTTTCCTTTTGTGAGTAGAGATTCAAATGAGCTGAGCGTGGTGGCGTATATCTGCAGTCCCCCTTGGGAGTCTGAGGCAGCAGGATTGCAAGCTCAAGGCCTCGCTGGGCAATTTAGCAAGACCCTGTCCCAAAAACAATTTTTTTTAAAGAGTTGGGAATGAAGCCCAGTGGTAGAGCACTTCCTCAGCATGTGTGAGGCCCTGACCTGAACAACAGCACTTCAAAAGAAGAAAACATTGAGCCCCCCTCCAAAAAAATCCTAATTTTTTCAGACTATTCATTAACAAATACTGAGCATCTACTATATGCCAGGCACTTTTGTAGTACTTTATATACATGAATGCATGAAACAGCTCCATCCTGTTAGAAGGTAAGTGTTATGAAAAACATAAAAGTAGAGCATAGTAGGGAAATTGTGAGTATGGGACTGACCTACGGAAAAATTCAGTTTTAAATAATATTTAAACAAATTTTCAAAGTTCTAATTGTAATGCCTGGCCTGAATGAGACCACAGCAAACATGCCCCAGCAAACAACAGGAAAGAGCCATGCTATTTTAAACAGAACAGATGGCCATACAGAAAATTTGGCCCTGGGCTGGGGATTTAGCTCAGAGGCATCCCACCTACCTTGCAAGTGCAAGATCCTGAGTTCAAACCCCAGTACTGCAAAACAAAAAACAAACAATTTGAGACAAGATGGCGCTGAACAGTCCAGGATTACATGCACACCTGCACTGACCATTCTTGGACCCTCAAATGTTCCATTGCAGATTCCTTAGGATTATAGCCCCCTTCTTCGAACCTATAAAAACTTAAGTTTCTTTCCCAGCTAGCTGCTGAAATCATTCAGGATCTCAGCCCTGTCTGCATCCAGACAGAATAAATTCAACCTTTCTTCTCATAAAGCCTGTGTCCAAGTGGCCTCTCGTGCCATTTGTAATACTAATGAACACTAAAGATAGGATAAACAAAACGATACAACTTGTATTAACTAATCAAAGGATTGCCGCTTCCTTTGGCACTCTTACAGGCATATATCCAAAATATTTTTAAATAACTTTAAGCAGCCTTCAAATACATGACAGTGAGAGCAACCTTGTCCTAGTAACATTCTTGCTGGGACAAAATACCCAGTACCAACCGGTTACAGGAGAAAAGGCTTATTTTAGCTCCCAGTTTGTAGAGGTTCCAGTCCATAGGTGGCTTGCTCTAAGGCAGCATGGCACAGTGGCACGGCAGAGGAGAAACAGGTCATGGTATGACAGGAAGCATGGAGACTTCTTTTTTCTTTCCCCTTTCATTCTACCCAGCTACAAGCCTGTTTGTTGGTGCCACCCACACCCCGGGTCGGTCTTCCCTTTTCAATAAGTCCATCATCTTCTATACCCAGAACTGTGCTAAACTAATTATCAAGTAACACATTATCAAGTAACACATTCATGACCCAGTTACTTTCAAAAGCCCACCTATGAGGATTTGGGAGGATATCTAGAGGTAAGCCATAGCAAAATGACATCACCTATGGATAGGGCCGGAAACTCTTCCACTTACCCCATGTCTACTAGGGCCGGAAGCTCTTCCACTTACCCGATGTCTACTAGCTCCTGGTAAACTCAGTCAATAAAGATTGTAGGAGACGTATATATAATTTTAATCTATAAATCTTTAAAACCTAGCAATGATATAATGTTCACAAACCCAAACCTGCCACTGAACAGACTTTGGGTTTTTGGGTTTTTTGTTTGTTTTGTTTTTTGGGTTTTTTGAGACAGGGTCTCCCTATGTAGTTGAGACTGACCTGGAACTCACTATGTACCCCAGGCTGGTCTCGAACTCACAGCGATCCTCCTGCCTCAGCCTCCCGAGTGCTGGGATTACAGGCGTGTGCCACTACACCCGGCAAGAATTTTCTTTTTGATACAAAATCAGCATGTGATGATGAGGGAATTTGGAAAGTATAGACCAGTGGGGGCAAACCTAGGACACACGTGCTGCAGCAGGCTATTTGTATTACTGAACGCTCTAAAAGGTTCGCCATCATTGGTATAGACTGTAAGAAGAAATTAAATCGT